GAAAAAATTGATGAGATGATACTAATGTCAATATATTTTATGATCTATTTGAACGTCTAGTATTGTGTAAGAATGGATTTTTCTACGCATGGGGTAAGTGTGACAGTTTTTTACCGATGTAGTGATGTGCCTATAAATGGATTTATGTCACACTTGCCCTGGATATTTTGAAAGTGTAATAAAAACAATGCTAAGTGAAAAATAACATTAATTCCGCTTAGTTGCAAAATATGGGAAGAATGAGGCGGTAGTTTTAGAAGGGTAATATTGTTTTCGTTTGCCTTTATAATAACATTTAAGTCAAGGTGTGTTGAATGGCCGTCATATATTACAAGTTGTGGGTTGCTTGATTTGCATATTTCCGAGATCGGTACATTTGAAAAGTAACTTTAGAATACTGAAGCTTCCATTCAACACTTCGGCGTAGCGGCAAATGCCTAATTAATCGAATTATTATCAGGTAACCAGGAACTTTCTGGCCCCAGGCATTGCATCCGAATAATACAGTTGTACTATCGCGGCCTGGTGAGCTAGTGGTTCGTGGGGCTTGAAAACCTTTTAGGCCAACTATTTTAAACTTACCTGGGTCTTGATAGAAACTTGTTTCATCAAGATTCCATAATTTGATCACCTTTGAATTGTTGCTTTTGTACGACTGTCTTAAGCACATCGTTGAACTCGTAGGGAAATACTAGTCGGCAGCTTTTCTTCTTGTGATTTGACGGCTTGTTTTTTTAATCGATAGTTTGTTCCTTGTTCATGACCACTCGTCTCCCGGAATCCCATCATTGAAGGAAGTATCGATTTTGATTGCGACGAACATATTGGCCAGCTAAAGCTCTGACTTCTCGCTGAATTAAACCAAAGGCATACCCCATGAACTGATATTTTTCACCCCTTTTGACACACCCCTCCATATCTCAAAAACTACCAGTTTTCTATTTGTATTTTATATGATCATATTAAATTTAATTGAAATCAGATAAGTCTTTCAAAGTTTATCATCATACATACAAAATCATACAGATATATGTACATACAAGCACAAGTACCTACCAACATACTCTTCGTTACTGAGATCACACTTTCTTCGCTCGCTCGTTTATTAAGTATAATCATAAAAGTAAATACTTAATTATAAATACATACAAACACACAGGTAAACAGCATCCTCCATTTTTGAAAGTCAGTTAAAAACAATATGCTGTCTCATCACTAGTTACGATATTCTCATAGGTACAATGTGATCGGGGTAAGCGTGACACTGTCACACTTACCCCGATGTTAGATATTTGGTGAGGTAGGTGTAACTGTATCCGTATTTCAAGGAATAGTGGATTTCATGTCACAGAAACATATTACACTATAAATACCAATATTATTCTTTATCACTCACCTTGTATCTTGTTTAAAATAACTTAATGACGTATCGATACACTTAAAAACTTTGCCTCTTAAAATTGTTCGGGCTTTCGGCAGTTGAGTAGTTTTTAAAAAATGACGTTTGGTGATAAAATATTTGAAGATATGTACTTAGCTGTCGGTATAGTCAATAGCATAAAAGTTCCAGTGTTGTTAAAGAGATGGCATTTAACCAAAAAAACATATTTATGCCGCATAATTTGCTTTTGTCACACTTACCCCACTGTCACATTTGCCTCAGTCTACCTTACCTTAGTTAAATTATAAAAACATTTTTATTTTATTGTTTATATTTAAATAATATCGGACAATTAAATATATAATAATATATTACATATATATATATATATATATATATATATATATATATATATATATATATATATATATATATATATAAATAATAAAAAAAATAGTTTGGAAAATCCAAAAGTGCACGCCTCATAATCGCTTAATTAAATTTTAATGAAAAAAAAAAATTACCAAAATAAATCAATTACACAAAGTATAAAATCGATATAGGCTGTATGGTACAGATGTCCTTTGTCTATGAAGAGGTAAAGAAGAAAATGAAAGCGCCTTTAAATTTTTAATAACAATAAAATTTATAAAACTTGAAAATCATTTTATTAACAAACTACGCATACTAGGCATATCAATAATATAAAATAGCGAACCAGTTGATATTATCATTCTAAAGCTAATTTAAAAAAAAGCCGGTCTCGGTACGTCAATTTTTTCGGAATCTATCGTGACCACAAACAAAATCAACATCCGGACGTCAATGTAATTTTTTTTCAAACCGTTTTTTTTTTATCAAAGTATATATATAAGATGGATTAATTAGTGTTGTCTTGATATACCGCTACTCATATTATCGTATAAGTGCAATATGTTTATGATAGAGGCATTTTAAGAACACAAAATTGCTTGACCTTGACGTGTCGAGAGTAATACACTGCCTAATAACACTTCGCGTTATGAGGGGTGCAATAGTCATACGATAATCGTATAAATAAGAAAAAATTAATCGTCCTATTATCGTATGAAAAGACACTTCCTTCTTCCTATTAGGTACACTATTTTTCATATAATTTTTAATTTTATATTTTGCAAATATTTTTTATCATATTTTTTTTTGTAAAAAGTTAATGAAAAAATAGATAACTAACAAAACAAAGGTTTAACAATTTAGAAACAAGCACAATTTTTTAAGCTTTTACAATTTTTGTGGTGGTGTGCGAAACGATTTTCTGTACGAAAGTAAGGACCTTTGGGCGATAAGCGTTGGGTATAAAGAAAATGAAAAGAAATATTTGTACTGGAAAATTGTAAAAAGAGAATATAATTAACAATTAGTTTTAATGGTGCTTCAAAGAATTTTTAATTTACTCCCAATTATATTATTATTATTAAGATACTAAAACTTTTGAATTTCAAATTTTATTTCTGTTCAAGTAGTTGCAGAGAAAACCTATGTCGCATTACAATAATCTACGTAAAATAGTATCTAAAAATCATGTAGGTAATATAAACAGACAGAGTTTTTTTAGAAACCGCAGCGCTAAAAATACCAAAAATATTAAAGATAGTTTTAGCACAAAATTTTTTAATTGCGTCAGATGCAATTCTAACTTGGTAAAGGTAAAGTTATCGATAAGTAATTTTTTACCCCTTTACGATTTTAGGATTGTTAGACCAACATATTAGATCACTAAAAATTCACGAACTTTCGGAATCGGAATCGAACCTCCGTAACATCTCTACTCTACACTATGACACAAGGGGTAGTGACGAAAAAATCTTACACTTTTTGTCGCCTAGCTCCCATCCCTACCGTCCGATAAAGAACTTCGTTCCAAAAAATAAACTTAAAGTTTTAAACATTCGAACAAAGGCTGTAGAATGATCAGGAAAAGAGGGGAAATGTTTGCAATCTAATTTGTAACTAACGTTGTTCCTTGATGTGAAGATAGATGTAGATGTCTATGGGCCACAGCAACCACTTACCATCAGGCGGACTGTGCGCCCGTTTGTCACCCTTATTCTATAAAAAAAAATTCTTGGACGGAGCTTATGGCAAGATGATGATGATTTTTTTACTATAAATCTATCGTCAGCAGCAGATAACTCACCTTTTACATTATACGCAAACAACCCAGTCGGCATAAATGAATTAATCATTCGCACTTAAAAGTTTCTTCGTCCGTATTGGAGCAGTTGTAGGAATTTTTTCTGCTCTAGTACGCCACTTGAAATAAGAGCAGATCAATGTCTAGCTGTGGGGTGAATGTAGACTTCATTGATTAAAATTTATATAAATCTTGATTACAATTTATAATAAATCAGTAAAAATTTTAATTGTCTTTTTTATACATTTTTACAAGCTGTGTTTCATAGCACAATGCTGTTTTGTTTCGTATGCTGAGTACTCAGATGAAGTTTTTTTTACTTCATCTGAGGCTGAGTAATGAAACTGGGAGACCCTTGTTACTGATGACGAGGCATCTTAACCCTCAAGGGTAAAAACGTATCTGCTTTTTAATTCTTAATCTAGGGTAAGGTCTCCAAAGGATTTACTTACAATCATGTGGACTGTGTGCTCGTTTGTGAGCCTAACTCCTATTAAAAAATAACTTTATACTTTTTAAAGACAATAACTGACATATATTAATAGAATACGTTACACGCAGCCCACTATGGATGACTGAAAATCCTGTTTCACGTGACTTGTTCTCTAAAAAGGCGTTAAGCAATATTCGATCTATATTTACTTACATGCAAAACATTACATATTCTTTTCGTTATAAAAATTAACAAAGGACTTCCTTTTTTATTTCTGATTGAGCTTTTAGGGCAAAAACGTGTCCGCATTGCTGGCCAAATCCGTGTTGGCATACTTTACATATCTACGAAATATTTTTCACTTCTAAGACATGTAAGTTTCCTCACGAAGTTTTCCTTCACCGCCAAGCACCAAATAAATCTTAACAATTTAGACGAACTACTCTTGGGCAAAAGTGTACTTATGATTATTCTCGTATTTTTTCATTTATACTTTTTACTAGAAAAGAGGCATTCTATCTTAGTCTTCACGGCTGACAACGCATCTGCATTTTAATTCGCAAAGATAAATGTAGATGTCTATGGGCCACAGCAACCACTTACCATCAGGTGGACTGTGTGCTCGTTTGTCATCCTTATTCTATAAAAAAAAAATCAGATAATACAATTTGGAAGGATATTCTGAAGATACGTTCTTCGACTATTTCCATTTTTGAATCTCAAGATCCATTTAATTTTACTTGACAAACAGTTTCAACGTATAATTATATATATTGACAATTTAATTAGCAATTTAAAATAAATGCATGAAGTTAGTATCGTTAACGTTATATTCTATTTTCCCCTTAGTAAATTCGACATAACAATGCCGTTCTGACCTTGGAAATACAGCAGCAAGCGCCTGCTTGCAATAGTTGCCTAATAACGAAGCGGAGAGAATTTTTATCTATAAAACCACAGCGATAATATTGACTACCATAAACAAAAACGTTCTGTCGTAGAGTACGGTAAACATGAAGGTGGCGCTTGTGCTAGGATGTCTGGTAGCGCTCGTGGTGCTAACGAGTGCGCGGGATATACGCAAGAAACGAGACGCCGATCTAGAAGCTGCTGCTTCGAATAAGCACGAAAAAGGTGGCGGCAAGGAACATCACTCACATCACCACCATGAGCATGGCGAAAAAGGCCATAAAGGATACAAAGGACACCATCATCACGAACACGGCAAAAAGGGCCATCACCATCACGAAGGCCATAAGGGATATCATGATGAACACGATGGTCACAAAAAACATCATCATCACGATGAAGGCCATCATCACGAACACCATCATGGCGAAAAGGGCGAAAAGGGCCACGGTTTTGAAGAAAAAGGTCACTACCAAAAGGGCCATTCAACCAAAGGTCATCACGGCGTCCACAAAGTAGACGAATTCAAGAAGGACAAACATTTCCACCACAAGCATGGCGAATCTGGATATGAAGAAGGACACGGTGGGCATCATCATGAACATGGGCACAAAAAGGGTGGCCACTTCCACAAAGGACACAAGCATGATGGCCACCATGAACACCATCACGATAAGAAGGGACATCATGAGAAAGGCGGTCACCATCATGACCATAAAGGACATCATGATGAAGGTGGTCACCACGAACACCATCACCATCATTCTGAACATGGAAAGAAAGGAGGTCATGAAGACCACAAACATTGGGGATTCAAGAAAGGGCACTAAATTATCGTTTTTGTTTAATTATCTGTTATTGTTTTGTAGCTTCTATTATTTTTTTAATGATGTAAATATTGTTTTGGTAAAGAAATAAACGCTCAAGACTTTTATGCTTCTATTTTAATATAAATACATAGTAATCTTTTAAAACCTACGAAATTAGCCGCATTCTTTGCCACCTTACCTGTGTGTAGGGTTGCCATCTTCTAAAATGAAAAAGCCGGACTCGGCGCTCCAAAAAGCCGGACTTTTGGCCCTAAAAGCCGGATAGTAATTTTTAGAAAGCCAAACATACCTTTCTGAGGCCATGCAGCCAAAAAACTCACCAATTCCAACCCCCCGATAAAAAAAAAACTAAAATACTCCGTTACATACGTTAATTGTTTATTAATCAATCACAGAACAGTTTCAAGTGTATACGTTACTTATTTATTAATCAATCACAGTATAGATTGAAATAAATTTAAACCACTTATTACTTACAATAACAATCAACAAAATCAGTCTTCTGTTTGTAGACTTTATAAAAAAAAATTAAATTACAATTCTAAACAAAGTACTTAACCATTTTCACAAAACAAATTTTAAAAAGCTACTCATATTTAAAGATAAAAAATTAAAAACTACAACAAAATAAGTAAACTTTAAAATAATAATTTATATTTTGCTGGCTGGTAATAATGTATATGGATAGATAAATTCGGCAATGCTTCGCTCATTCTGCAAGCGATGCGTGCAACGCGTTACATTAACACATTCAGTACCACCGACTCGCCCGGAGAGTTCACGTAAATCTTATTCCAGTGCCGACGACTCGTCTGGCGAGTTCAGTGTTTTTCACTAATATTTCCAAAATGCATCCGTATTTTCTGCTTAAAATTATAGTTTAGACTAAATATATGCTAAACTAAAGATTTACATGGTGGGCCGGGTGTGGAGACTCCGTTTAAATTTGAAAGGAAACAAACTATTCTGCAATGCCTTGAACTCGCTAGGCGAGTTCCCTGACATAGATCCTCAACCATTTACATGTTAGATAACGACGTCAACATAGTAGCATGGACTACCTACATACTTGTGATATGGAACTAATATTCACAATAAAAATAATACATACCATATTCTTAAAACTGAAAGCCCGTATTATAATAATAATCGTTTATTTCCAATCAAAAGTAGATAAAGAATGTGTGTGGGCGTGCGTGCGTGTTGTTGTTGTTGTTGTTCTCGAATAAGTTCCTTAAACATTCTATTAACATCAATTTTAAATGTATCGAATTCATCCTCACGCTTCCTTTTGGTACGGTAAGCTGTTCGGCTGGCCATCGGAATCGGAATAAATATTTGGGTCTGAATGGCAGTGTTTGCGATGTAAAGTTGATGGCCGCCGTCGAGACGTAGGTGTCGGTCGCGCTAGTAGCAACAATGTTCTGCGGCTGCGAAGTAGACTGCGGTGGCGAGCGAGAAATCATAAAGCGACGTTAAAACAATGTACCAGAGCAATATAAACAATCAGGTATTACGTATTTATTGCAAGCTCCAATGTTTCGTTACTATTTGCTTAGAGGTCAAGCAACTGGTCGTTGATTGACGCTTCTTATACAAAAGGTCTTTTCGTCTTATATCACTTGATCTCTCGTCCTGTGCATACAATATTCATTTATGTTATCCCTGTTTTATTCAATGACGCAATGATTAAGCGTTTTTTTCTCGTTTGAACTATTTATTAATATGCAAAAAAAATTATAACACTTCAATAATAAGGCTTTTACTCACACAGCTGCATGGGAATTTAGTAGGACTAGTGTTGAGAGTTAGTGAACACTTCTTCACTTTTATGCACTCCTAATTATTTATTTGATTTTGTCGGAATTTAACATAAGTTAACTGTATTTAACTAACTAAACCACACACGTCTGGTCTCTTCGAGAGTCCGAGGGGAAGGATATATATTAAATTATTTCATGGTAAAATTGTCTATTCACAAGTATTAGAAATTCAAAATATAACCTTAACAATAACCACAATTTAAAAGATTGACAACCACTGCTTAAATTACGAAACAAACTACCTTTTATTTTATCCAAAGAGTTTTTTGCCATTTTTACAAGCCGAATAGTCCTGAAACACTTTTTAATTGCGTTAAACACGTTAAGTACACTGTGACGGCCACAAAAATTACAAAACATAGAATTTACCCTTACTTAGTGCCAGTGAACTCGCGTGGCGAGTCGATTCAATTTATATTGCAGTGCCGGCGACTCGCCTGGCGAGTCAACCGTAAAATGTAGACGGCATCCGAGAAGACATCATGAAAATCGTAGTGGTGATGAATGTGTTAACAAAAAGCCGGACAGGCCGGACACAACCCAAAAAAGCCAAACATGTCTGGTTAAAGCCGGACAGATGGCAACCCTACCTGTGTGGCCTTTTAAGACTAAGCTAACCCTTGTGTACCTAAACATTTATAATACCTACATTTTATTGATTATGCAGATATATGCTACCCAGACTTAAACTGAAATCTTCGTAACAAGCTAGAGCATCTTCTTAATATCTGTATTAGATATACATATATTTGGTCTTTGAAAATATAATTCAATTTGTGTTATCTACATGTGTGTTATAACATAAAAATAATTCTAATTCTTTTAATCTGCGTACATAAAAATGAACTTAAATAACACTGTGCAACTATTTACGAAATTGACTCGAATATTGTGTAAGTTTAAATTTTAAATTACTCATACATATAAAATCTTTGTTATCTCGTTTAGCATCAATTTAAGATGCACATAACTAACTTTGCTTCCTCGTTTTAAAAGATTTTTAGGGAAAAAATGGATATTTTATAATTTTAAAGAGCATTTAAATGAGTTTTTAAATTAAAACATTAATTTTTTTTTTTACCAAAACCGCAAAATAAATATTCATTCATTTTATTTATAGAGTACTTTGAGAAAGTAGCATAAACGATTCATACAAACTGTAACCGCCTATTTCATCCTCTTAGTTTGAATTTTCAAGAATCCTATCTTATAGGATGATTACGTAGGCAATAAAAAAACCTATGGTTCCAATTTCCCACTTGTACGTACAGCTTTTTAGTGGTATGCGTGGTAGTCATGCTGCATCTATATTAGTAGTATAGTTGTAGCACGAAGAAGTCGGCTCGACTGGGGAAGGACCACGATCTCACAGAATACCAACGTAAAATAGCAGCTTAACGCTGCTGTGTTTCGTATGGTGAGTGTAGAGAACCGGAGACCCCTTTTACTGGATGCGAGGCATTCCATCTTAGTCCTCACGGGTGACAATGCATCAGCATTTGGATTCATAATCAAGGATAGATGTAGATGTTTATGGGCCACAGCAACTAATTACCATCAGGTTAACTGTGTGCTCGTTTGTTATTATATCCTATATTTAAAATAAAAACCCCTTTTTTAAAAACATATGCATATATTTTTGAAAAAATTAAAAATACATATTTTATTATTTTAATTCAAGTGTATTTGCATCAGTTTTCAAGATAAAAAGCCTTAAATATTTTTTCTCCTTTCAAATTTGAACATCCTATGCTCTCTCGCTACATGTGTTCATTTATTTTATTTACAATGAATTTTTGGGTTCCGTACCTCAAAAGGAAAACACGGAAACCTTATAGGATTACTTTGTTGTCCATCTGTCTGTCTGTCTATCTGTCAAGACCCTTTTTCTCAGGAACGCGTTTTTTTTTATAGGAGAGGGAGCAAACGAGCATGCGGCTCACCTGATAGTAAGTGACTACCGCCGCCCATGAACAACCGCAACACCAGGGGAATTGCAGATGCGTTGCCGGCCTTTTAAAAAGGAGTAGGCTCTTTTCTTGAAGGTCCCTAAGTCGTATCGGTCCGGAAAAATCGCTGATGGTAATCGATTCCACAAGGAAGTCGTGCGAAGAAGAAAACATCTTCTAAATCGCACAGTGGTGGACCGCCAATCATCCAGATGATGTGGATGGTATCGGGAGTTCTGCCGCGATGTGCGTTCATGAAATTTGGCGTAAAGGTATCAAGCAAATTTCTAAGCCAACGCAATCAAAAGATACAACCGTTTATGCTGCAAATTTTATACATTCGCAAGGGAATCAAAACCTACAGTGTACTTCCCATGAATTCAGAATCTTAAAATTTGGTATGAAGCAACGTATTATAGCACAGATAAAGGAAAAATTGCGAAAAGCATAAACTTTTAGTTACATGATATAATAAAAATATTTTTAATAGATTTAAACTTATATACCCACGGATTTGTTCGGAACCCTCGGTGCGCGAGTCCGACTCGCACTTGGCCGGTTTTTTTTATGTATGTATATATAAAATCGCGCCCGCTCGTGGCAATAATGTCAGGACATTTTTATAGAAATCCGCCTTTTCGTCAGGATTTTCAGCGAGGCACCTGGTAACCCTACTTGCGGGACACTCCATGTACAATAATATATGTACATGCGGTTGACGATAGCGTGTTATAAAGTACTTAACTAACTAATTTTAAGTGCCGTTTTAAAAGAAAAATTGCTTGTTTCTCTATTTTTTTTTTTTTATATATTTTTATATACGAATACATTAAATAATTTAATTTACCAATCGGAAACTGAAAACATCTATAAAGAGAATGTGTTAAATGAGAAAATATTTAGCAGTGCAATATTTGTAAATGTATTTTTCACTTTTAAATGATCTTGTTCAATACTAAATGTTTTTAATTATAAGTATGTATTATTTTATTCCCATTTTCGTAACAACCCCTGGCACATGCCGCCCGTGTAAATTACCTACGCGGGTTGCGGCATCGGCTGATATCAAAGGCGTTTCCCAACTGTTATCTCTTCAAACTGAGGTAAATTCATGTATCTTTTGTCAACTCATGATAAGGTTCTTCGCTCCTCATATAATCATAAGATTAATCATAGAATCGTCGACGACCGAGTTCTTTCCGATCGGCTTGACTCACTGGCACTGCGT